GTTTTACAGTCTCAGGTCGAAGGAGCATTTTTTTCTATACTGACGTCTGATGTAACTGACGTATAATTAAAAAATAAAATTCAACTGTTTTTTTTTTATACGAATAAGTAATTATAGGTAGCTCTATGTTATCAAAATACGGAGGCATAAAGTTTTGAACGATAGCGTCATGAAAAATACTAGACAAATTAATAAAATCAATACCTCTATTAATATATTATATTTTCATAAAATACTTTTTATGATCTTCAGGTTTGTCAATTTTAGGGAACAGTTCGGGGCCTTGTAAAGCTGACTGTGCGGTATGGGCTTTGCTCATTGTTGAAGGCCGTACGGTGACCTATAGTAGTTAATGTCTGTGTCATTTGGTCTCTTGTGGAGAGTTGCCTCATTGGCAATCATACCACATCTTCTTTTTTATTTGGTGACAAAAAGCTGTAATAATACGTATACACTCATATTTTGGACTGAAAACAATATTGTATCACACTCGGTATTAATATTATGTAATTTACTAATTGGCATTTGACATAGTTTGCATAATAATTGATGTCCACCATTGTTTTTAAATATAAATAAAAAATTATCTAGTGTAAAATTAGAACGATGTTTATTTCGTTGATTGAGGTTAATGCGATTGCCATGAGACCTATGATTGCGTTGTCTTTTATCAACAATAATCATGATATCAATAAAGTTTTAAATATGTTCCCTCGGCCCATGGTATTTTCATTTAGACAATGCATACCCTTCCGGAGCACCTTAGATCACCCCTAGTTTTTGGTGGGGTTCGCCTTGCTCAGTCTTAAGTTTTCTGTGTTGTGTTTTATGTACTGTTGTTTGTCTGTTTGTCTGTTTGTCTGTTTGTCTTTTTATTCTTTAGCCATGGCGTTGTCGGTTTGTTTTTGACTTGCGAGTTTGAATGTCCCTTTGGTATCTTTCGCCTCTATTTTAGACCAAGGGGATACTCTGTCTGTAGTTATTTAATCCAAGACAGTTCGCAAAATTTACAGGAATCTTCAAACTGTTTATGTGATTGTCCTGGTTGTTTCTGAACGGTTTGAAGTGGTTGGAATTTTATGAATTTAATATTGTTTTTGTGTTTTTCTAAATGTTGGTAAATTAAACTTTTGAATTTCTTAGGTCTGCGGAAGCGGTATAGATGTTCTTGTGTTCGTTTGAAAAATTCACCATTTGTCCTAAATATTGAATAAACCATTTTGGTTTTGGTTTGTTCATGTTACAAGATATATGAGGCTTTGGGTTTTTTAAGTAATGTCACATGAAAAAGAGAGAGATGACCGAAAAGTAATATCTGAAGATAATGTGGAGTAGGTTTGTCATTTCCTGGCATTGCACGGGAATATTTGTAAATATCCACATGCGGTTTTGTTAAACAATCTAGCTGCAGAGTCAATTGTGAAATGTGCTAAATTTTGATGGTGAATTTCGATTAGCGGCAGTAAAATCTATATTATGAACGCTTTTTTTAAGCACGTGGATATCCGAAGTGTGCAGTGGTTTTTTGTTATTAAAATCATGATATTATATAATAACTTAAGTAAAAGAGGGACGAAAGATACCAGAGGGGCAGTCAAACTCAAAGATCGAAAACAAACTGACAACGCCATGGCCAAAAATAAAAAGACAAACAGACAAATAATAGTACAGATGACACTACATAGAAAACCAAAGACTAAGCAACACGAACCCCACCAAAAACTGGGGGTGATCTCAGGTGCTCCGGAAGGGTAAGTAGATCCTGCTACACATGTGACACCCGTCGTGTTGCTTATGCTATTACAAATCCGGTAAATAGTCTAATTCGGTAAGTCACATTCGTGAAAAGGGAAGGGTATTGTAGTTACAACATAAGGAACATATCCGATATCATCTGTGAAACGGTTATTCCATAACGGTCAACCAACTCGTGATGGCGTCCGTAAAATTTACGAAGGGATGACTTCAACTTCACCATTTGGAACTCTTGGTTTAATAGCTTCCTTGTGAGCAGCAATCCTCTATCAAGGAAATCATGATAGGAAACACATGCCCGGGAATATCGTATCAATTGGGAGATATATACTCCGTATGCAGGCGCTGCTGGAATGTTGCTTCATAGAAATGGAAAGTTCACAATTGGGAAGCTGAAATCATCTCTTTTGTCGTAAAGTTTTGTTTTCAACCGACACTCATTGTCAATTTCTAGATGTAAGTCAAGATACGAGGCAGACTTAACTGTATCTGTAGTATCCTTTATCTCTGGGATAGATTCGTTCAACATAGTCACGAAATTTTGTATTATTTAGTGAGAGAACATCATCTATATAGCGGAACGTAGAGTTAAAGGATATTGCTAACTTCTTATCTTTCTTCTCTTTAAAAGAGGCCGAAAGTCAAAGCATTGAATTGGGATCATATAATTACGGGATGAGTAGTAGGTAGTGTAGTCGAAGAATTCTAATAAAAACTGAAGTTAGCTGGCCCGAGAATACAGTTATTTCGTTTTAGACAATTAATTCAAATTTAAAAAATCGCAACCGCTCTAAAAAGATTTTAATAGCTCTAACTAAAACTACGGACAATTCTATATTAAGGGGATATATAATTCAGTATGACAGCTAGCCTAGAAGAATGACAAAAAAAATAATTGTAAATCATCTTTTTTCGGAGGGAGTTTCTGAATGAATTATAAATTTTAAATAAAAAATATTAAAGAAATCTGACATACCAGTATTTGACGCCTTGTGACTTTATAAGACGCAAATTTTGAAAAGCCAACCGTATCAGCAAAATTACCACGAAACATATGCATATAGACAAATTGTTATTTTTCACGAATGCTTTTTTATAGTGTGATAGTATACAATGGAGTTGAAAGTTGCATTTTTATCGTCAATTTTCATTTGGTTTTATTTTAACAGTGTTTAAGTATAGATAGGCATGCCCGAGTGCTGATTGATATTTTAGTTTGGGAAACATCATTCTATTATTTGCTGTAATTGGCTTTGAACTAGCGTTCTGTAACTGCAAGTTCTCTTATATCGGTGCTTTGTGTTAGTTGCTTATTGTGCTTTTTGTCGATCTGATGAGAGTCAATTTCTTTTCAACTGGTTTTTACAGTTTTTTCTGACGTTGTACTGCTACGCCACTGTCCGAGGTTAGGAGGATAGTTGAGCGCTCGCAAACATATTTAACCCCGCCAAATTCTGTATGTGTCTGTCCCAAGTTAAAAGCCTGTTATTCAGCGGTTGTCGTTAGTTGCTGCTACCATATTTAATCATCGTTTTTTGTTTTGTACATAGTTTTCTCGTTCGAATTGTTTTCATTTTGGCGTGTCTGTCTTAGCTCATTGGTAAATGTCGTATGATGAACTATACCTGCTTACATCTACGCCATTTGGTCTCTGGTTGATAGTTGTCTCATTGACAATCATAACTTACACAGGAAAATGTTTACATAATACTTTAAAATGATGAGTTGTGGAAAGATTGCCAATGAGACAACTCTCCATTAAGACAACACGTCGACGATGTTAACAATTAAAAGTCACCATACGGCTCTCAACAATTAGCAAAGGTCCCGGGATGACAAAAAACGTAAAACTATTAAATAAATATACGGGCTAAAGTACACAACAAAAAATAAATGAAAAACAAATATAGCAGACATCAACCAACTACAACCCCTTAAACACAGGCTCCTGGTTTGGGACAGGTGTTCAAGAAAGTGTCGGGTTTAACATGTTTGTGAGTGCACAATCCATCCCCTTATCTTGGACAGGTTATGTAATAGTTATACACCGAGGGATAGGTGTGTCTGGATAAGAATCCCCGACGGTCGGAGGCCGGAGAGGTTTCTTATCCAGACACGCCGCATCCCGAGGTGTATAACTAACTTACACCCGATGTTAAACCCTATATTTGTTAACATTGATTACTAAATGAAAATGAACGGATAGCATATTTATTGACAATATCAAACCATGATTTATAAGACTTTTTTTTTACATGAAACCCCACTAGTAACCTTACTTTGGCTATCTTCGTTCAAACATTGACAAGTGAGTAGATTTTACAAATGTCAAATTTGCTGTTTTGCATATTCCCGTTAAATCCATGTGCTAATATGAATGATCAGCAGGTCATGGTTGACCGTTTCGTGCATTCTTATTACAAAAACAAAAATACATCATGCTCCTTGTATGAAGTTGTCAATATGGACGGGTATAAGACGGACGAAGGTAATCATAAATGTATTTTATATGTTACGGTTTTTTTAAAAAAGTCCCCCCTCATCTCTTCTCAAGAATAAACAAACATTCATATTCGGACATACTGAGGGATAAGTGTGTCTGGATTAGAAACCCGACGACCGGACACGCTTAACATACAAAAATACAGATTGAATATTTAGGAGCTCTCTTTTTGGGGGCAATCAATCCAGGGGGGGGGGGATCCGGGAGTTAGAATCCCCGTTCTTTTTAAAGATCAATGCTTTAGAATAGAAACATATGACTGGGATAAAAAATTTTACCTTCGGGCAAAGGTGTATTGAAAGGATTTTTTTAAATTCAAAATAGATGCTTAATATTTTTTTCGCTATTGGAATTTCCTAAAATGTGTTTTTTTAATATCTTGAAACAACTTGTAGTGAACACTATAAGTAATTTCTTATGATCATGCTATTTAAAAAATAATCAATTTCTATTGTTATGAATAACAATGGACTGTGTTTTCGGGATGTAGAAGCAGGGGGTTCCAGAAACCCTGCTCGTCACACCCTGTGCTCAAAATCCATTGTTATTCGTAACAATAGATTTATTCAATTAACACTTTTTTTCAGAAATAGAAACTATGAAGTATAACAATAGAACTGAGGCGTAATGACGGAGAAATCCGCATATACATTTAACATTTCAAACTTTATATCAGTATACCTGTAAATTTACCTATTTTTAATATTATTTAAATACCCAGGTGGCAATTGTGTTATATCACGTGACTTACACCCTGATTGCAATGACGCAGAAGCTGTTATTCACAAGAAATATCAAAGATAGTACTTCTTACATCTATAAAGAATCATTTGAATCCGGCGAAACGGTACATGTATTCTTTTTTGTTTTACGTGTTTTAATTTCGAATTCTACAACATCGTGAATATATCATTTTATGATTAACTTCCTTGTTCCCAATGATACATATTTTTTTCATATTATGGCCTTTGATTTGGTTGAATCAGATATCAAAAGAGAAAAAATCCAAATGAATGAAATAAGACAACACCTTTTGCATAATTTGTGATGAATCGCCGGCATCGAAAGCCATTACTGCCCCCCAAAAGTTCTTGTTTAAAGAAAACATTACTATTGTTATAAATATCCCATGCAATTAATGTTGTTCATATTTTAGAAATATTTGATATTTTCAGGGAAATTTACTTTAACTGGAGTTACAATTGATCTCCTTTTCTTTAAATTTTATTGATGCTTAGTACCTTTCTTTAAAAAATAGGGTAAGATTGTACCGAAGTTAAAATTATTCTAATTTATTTTTTATTGATGAGCCATTGTTATACTCTTCCAAGTTATGTAAAGAAGGAATGGGGATGTTAAATACAATGCTTCTGAGTTGGATGATTGCCAAGCTATTAGCACGTATAAGAACCTATTTCAGTAAGACTTTCAGAGGTCCATTGGTGGCAAAATGTATAATCTAATCTAAAATACTCATCTTTCCAAGTGGCAGTCAAACGTTTTTTATCCTACAACCCCGTCGGTCCATTTCGCAGAGCCTGCTTTCTATATTGGTTTTCATTCGTCCCGAGTTATTCAAGCTAACATTTATCAGATGAGGGAGGGGGTTCCAAAGAAAGAATTCAAGTTTATACCATCAATTGTATTCAAATTATTTCAGGAATATTATGTTGCTATTGAGAACTTTTCCTAAAACTTTACAAATCTAGAAGAGTTCAAGAATTTATTAAAGGTGAACTTTAATTTTTGCCATAACAGAACTTTGCCCGAGATATTCACACTTTGAAGACTATCTTCTAAAAAATCTAGAAATCTGAAATTTGTGGTTTATTCAAGCAAGACGTTTTCTATGTTTTCATCATTTCTATTTATTGATTTACCTCTCTGCTTGAAAGTCTTGCCGTCTTTGTGTCAGAAAAAAATTTGAACGCTGTCGTCTGGATATAATTTTTTAATGTGTGCTTCAAATCATCAGTCATTTTTATTACACATTCTGTTAAGGATAAAATAAAGTCAACTACTACTAATATTTGAATAAAACTTAATTTAACTATAATTGAGTTCATTAAAACAAATACTATCTTAAAATTCTTACTATTTCTTTTAGTAAATACAAATACAGAATATGAGATAATATTTCCAGTATCAATGAAAAATAGTTTTCAACTATATATAAGTATATCATAAAAAGTAGTATTGTCATTTCGTCTGTCCCTATCCATCACGCCATCCTTTAAAAAATTCCAAAGATCTTTTAGAGTACATACAATCTAAGACTCTCTCATCTTGCAATAGTATTAAAACATTTGACTTTTCTACACTTTACATAAGTATTCCCCATTCCAAACTACATAACAAATTGAAAGAGTTGGTATTACTTTGTGTCATTAAAAAGAATGGCGAACGTAGATACAAGTATCTTGTCTTGGGGAGGGATAAATCCTACTTTGTAAAGAATCACTCTGATTCAAACAAAAAATTCTCTGAAACTGACATTATCAAGATGCTTGATTTCTTGATTGACAACATATTTGTTACGTTTGGAGGACGTGTTTTTCAACAGACTGTCGGAATTCCAATGGGAACCAATTGTGCCCCTCTTGCCGACTTGTTTCTTTATTATTATGAGGCTGACTTCATACAGGAACTTCTTTGGAAGAAAGATAAGAAGTTAGCAATATCCCTTAACTTTACGTTCCGCTATAAAGATGATGTTCTCTTTCTAAATAATACAAAATTTGGTGACTATGTTGAACGAATCTATCCAATCGAACTAGAGATAAAGGATACTACAGATACAGTTAAGTCTGCCTCATATCTTGACTTACATCTAGAAATTGACAATGAGTGTCGGTTGAAAACAAAACTTTACGACAAAAGAGATGATTTCAGCTTCCCAATTGTGAACTTTCCATTTCTATGTAGCAACATTCCAGCAGCGCCTGCATACGGAGTATATATCTCCCAATTGATACGATATTCCCGGGCTTGTATTTCCTATCATGATTTCCTTGATAGAGGATTGCTGCTTACAAGGAAGCTATTAAACCAAGAGTTCCAAATAGTGAAGTTGAAGTCATCCCTTCGTAAAATTTACGGACGCCATCACGAGTTGGTTGACCGTTATGGAATAACCGTTTCATAGATGATATCGGATATGTTCCTTATGTTGTAACTACAATACCCTTCCCTTTTCACGAATGTGACCTACCGAATTAGACTATTTACCGGATTTGTAACAACATAAGCAACACGACGGGTGCCACATGTGGAGCAGGATCTACTTACCCTTCCGGAGCACCTGAGATCACCCCTAGTTTTTGGTGGGGTTCGTGTTGCTAAGTCTTTAGTTTTCTATGTTGTGTCATCTGTACTATTATGTGTCTGTCTGTTTTTTTATTTTTGGCCATGGCGTTGTCAGTTTTTTTTCGATCTATGAGTTTGACTGTCCCTTTAGTATCTTTCGTCCCTCTTTTAGTGGCAGTCCAACTTTCTGTTCTTCATTCCGGTCGACCAACCTTGCACAACCTGTCTTTTGTTAAGTTGTTAATTTGTTCCTGTCCTGTACTTGCATGAAATATTTCCCCTCTTGACGTTAAACAAGCAACAACTAATCAAACAATCTATCATTTCCCCTGCTTTTGTTCACTCCTGTGAACGTAAAGATTTGAAATTTTATGAAACCTAGTAAAATTTGAATATCGAAAAGTTTAAATGATAAATTAAAAAGATCTCTCAATCATTTTACATATATTAATAAAATCTTAATGATATTAAATACTATACACGGCTTTTGTAGACTATTTGGACAAAACTTTGCAAATTTTACAGGTATTTTGTTAAATTGTGCATCGCAAAGGATCCGTAACCAACATGAATTTATCTAAATTTGAAAGACTATGCATATAATTCAGATATTTTGTTTAGCTTGTTCTATAATTGCATTTTTGATCAATCTTGAACTATTTGTTAAGAAAAAAATCACTGTGTTTGTCACATTCTGAAAGTACACTCATGATTCAGTACTGCTATAAGAATTTGTACGAAATACAAGACAACCATCTCAGTTTCATGTACAATTTGAATAAGATTCTACATGTAATGGTGAGCAATTTAACTGAGGAAAAACATTCATATTTCGTGATGGAACAAACATTTTAGTAATCGTTGCAATTCATTAATATTCATACTAATAAATATGCTTTTACAGGTATTACACCATGTCGGATTTGATTCTTTGTGGTCCCTGTGGTTATGCAGAAAATAATAAAAATGCAAAGAAATGGTGTACAGTTTGTGAAGAGGCTTTATGTACAGATTGTGAACAGGTTCATAAATCTATCAAAACAACAAGGAATCACAGGGTCATATCCACCGACGACTTCCGGCAGATAAAAAATATTTCTATCAGCCTTACCTGTAAAGACCATGACAAGCGACTCGAATTATTCTGTAAAACACATGATGTTGCAGTTTGTTTAGGTTGCGTCCCATCTAATCACAGGACATGCTCTGACGTCATTCCTTTAGATAAAGCTGCTGAAAATGCAAAATGTTCAACTGCGCTGGCTGATTTAGAGGACACTTTAACCATAGCATTACAAAATCTTCAACAAATCATTAACGACCGTTCTGCATCATTGGAGAATTTAGACGGTCAGAAGCAATCCATAAAAAACACAATCAATGATACACGAGCAAGAATAATGAAAAAGTTTTAGAACAACAAATATTTCTTGAGTTAGACACACATAATGGTAAATGTAAATCCGAAATAAGCAAACTTCTTGACCGTTTGAAAAATTCGGAACGAGATTTAAATTGTCTGAAGGAGCAAACATCGCAATTGAAATTATTTGCATCCGACATTCAGCTATTTGTAGGAACACGTCAGATCAATGAAACAGTCTTCAAAAAAGTAGAATCCGTCAAAGAAAGAATCAAGTCTGTGCAGAACTATGAAGTTTACTTACAGTTTCATCCAGCTGTCATGGCGTTTATGAATGAGATAGATCAGCTAGGGAAAATATCCGTTAAAAAGACTACCACTAGTTTACCGTTCAAAGAAGCAAAAATAGATCAAGCCCAGATACAACTTCAAGTGCAAGAAATGAAAAGCATTAACAATATCCTAATCCGATTGAGGAAGAGATTTGACGTGAAACAAAATCGTGTAGCTATGTGGCTGTCTGGATGCACCATGTTATCAAATGGTAATGTGTTGATAGCTGATTACCAGGGAAGTAATGTACTAATGGAGTACAGTGAAGACGGTAAACATATCCGTGACATTCCGTGCTCTGACTCACTGTTTGATTTAACAGTCATAGACAATGACCGTATTGCTGTTACATATGGAAAAAGAAAGTATTTAGAGATTTTGAATATAAAGAACAATACTGTCGAGAGGAAAGTTAAATTTAAGAACGACTGCTATGGAATATCATACCAGGACAATAAACTATTTATCATTTCAGCAGGCATTGTAATAACAGATATTACAGGAAAAGTACTCAAAACATTATTAGTTGACTGCAAATTAAACTTAGATACAACCATGGATAGAATCTATTTTACCGTCAAAAAAGATACTATACATTGTATCTCCATGGCAGGTGAGGAAATATGGGTACATAAGGATGAATCTTTAAAAGATCCGCGGGGCATTACTGTGGATGATCATCAAAATGTGTATGTTGTTGATTTAGAAACGAATTCGCTTAAAGTAATACAACATGACGGGAAGGCCAGTAAAACAATACTTTCCGAAACTGACGGTATGGACAAACCGACTGCGCTACACTACAACAAAGACAAAAGAGTATTACTTTTGTGTAGCCTGTTTAAGAGTGTTGCCTTATACAATCTTCAATAGTTTCATAACCTTATGTTATACCAAATTCATAAATTTCAAGTTAATTTGAAATAGCATTTCCTAAAAATAATATGATTAAGGTAATGGACATTTTCGGAAAAAGACAAATGTTAAAGCTCTTAAAAGACTGAAGTAATACCTATCTAATTTGAAGTAAAGAGATAAAGTACTTTGCGAAAATCACAGTGACTGTAATTTTAACAGAAAATGTTTTCAGATTCATATAAATGAAGGTGTTTGTTACTTCTTGACTATCTATTTAATTTATTTGATGGTCATGTTTTTGTTAACCTTCAAAATTTTAATAATGAATTTCTGCAAAATAATTGATTGATTTTTGTTTCGTCTGCGACGAATGCCAAAGAATAAGACACATACGGTGGTGATATACTTGTATCAAGCTTTATATTTCAGAAGATACAATACCTAGATATTTCATATCTTGATTTCATATACCCGTTTTTCTTGCCCTCCTTTTCATGGTTCAGCGACATCTTAAAAGAGCTATCATGTTTTTGGCTTGCTTTTCTAACGTATTGTGAGCAATGGGATAACTGTATTTGGCACCTAGAATTATTTCAAGATCAGCCAGAAGGCTGGACATGACCTTGACCTCATTATACGAACCAATGCTCAACCTTACTGCGAGTTTTAAAATTCGAGGTTAAATAAATTTCTTTACAATAAACAATAGATCACCTGTTATTTTTTACGTGGAATAATTCTTCGAAAAGAGGCGGAAGATACCAAAGGGATATTTAAAACTCATAGGTCGAGAGAAACTTACATCGCCATGGCAATCCTGCTCTAAAATTGGCAGCCGTCTTTAACATTTCGCCTCTGTTTTCATGGTTCATTGGTCAAGTTAAGGGATTCAGATTTAAGTCTATTTTTCAGATTTAGTCATCTTTTCTTAGTGTATTGCTATACAAATCCTTGATGTATGGAATGATTGTAAGGTGAAGATGTCCGTCTTGCAGGTTTAATATAACTTTGACAGCATTTTCATAGTTCAGTGGTCAACGTAAAGTTTCCGTGGTTAAAGTGGAAAACTATTAACATATTTCATCTTTGTTTTTAAAGATAGTATGGAGAAATTGATCCATCTCATAAAAATCAATATTTAAAACAAAATCTCCGATCAAGAGTTATATGGTACTTTTGATTACAGTTTCTACTAGTAGTTTGTGTATTTATAAGTCATACTTTGTTTCAGATCAGATTTGAATATTTAGATGTGCATGAGGAAAAAACAACGAAAGATTATGAATTAACACAAAATAGTCTCTCAGAATGTGTTTGATACACTTCACTGGAGCTTGGACTTTGAAGTATAATAATAACATGCAATCTGAAGAATAAAAAGCATCTTTTTGTTGTTAAAAAGTGGTCATGGTGTGGTAATCGTTTCTCTGATACTATAAGCTAAACTTCAAATGCACTTGGTGTAAGTAGTGTAAATGTCCGTCTGCCAGTGTTCATCTTATCTTTACTTCCTGTTCATTGTTCATTGGTTAACACGTTAAGTTTTCGTGGTTACATAAAATACGTAAAACTCTATTCCCAAACGGTAAAATTTACATACTATATGGAATGACTGTAAGGTGTTAATTTCTGTATTACAGTTTTTATATATCCAAGTCCTCATTATAATTGATAATGATATAAATTTTATGTTATGACTGCAGTAAAACCTTTATGTAAGGACTTTTGACATAAAATTTGATAATGACCAATAGAGTAGGCGAGACATTTCAGCATATTTACTCATTTGGGTTGTTCTTAAGAGGGCCCCTTGGGTGCTATGTTCTGAGATGTATTATATCGGTATTCTAAATCTCAAATAAACCTTGGTCTCACCTTTGTAAACGCACTGAAAACATATACGCCTTTTAAAAATCGTTTTGCTTGGTTCCGTGGCTGCCATGTCCCTAATTCTAGGAATCGAGTTCATGTATCTTTTCTGTTTGGTTGATATGTTTTGGCCTTATCGTTTTGCATATATTAAAAAGCAACGAAAACGTGCGATATTTTGCAATTTGTCGGTTTTTTGCGTTTCGCATTAAATGACAGGAATATTGACAGATATTCAAGAATGACTCGAAAACCGATAGTTACATAGGTGTTTTCCAGGTGATTGCATCTAGCTTCTTTGATATAGCAGTAATAATTTAGTAAGTATCACAAGTGTGTTGTAATCTGTTCAGATTTCATGAGTCAAGGTAGAAACAAACAAAATTGGGAGATTATTGTATGATATCTAGATGGTGTCAAAACAGTGTTCATCCATCTGATTGATTGAATGTTCTCTGCTTAACGTCTAGATGTTTTATGCATATTTAGTACGATTATTCACTTGGAAGGCATCTGCTACTAAATATGAACTATCCATTAAGCTTTTCCATGGAAAACCTTACAACTGGTTGATGAATATAAACAATATAAATTTGATGGGTCTGATGCTCTTTTCTGGATTTACCTATTCCAGGAACGCTCTGGCCATACAGCCAAGGGTGTATAATTACTAGAATACTCTTGAGGAGCTATATGACCAAAAGGGATAAAGAATATCCACATTTATCTAAGGCAAACTTTACCTGAGGTAGTTTGAACTTGCGAATCTTATTTCTAAATTTATCAACAGAGAACCTAAGAGAGATATGTTATAAATTAGTTAGTTTTGAAACACTTACTACCGAACTGATGATAGTTTACCCTCGGGAACCGTCAGTAACTATGATGATTTCAATCGGTCTTCTTCATTAATCTCATTAACCCTTAAGTTTTTTTCTACTCTGCATATAAAGTGAATATGAGAACAGGATCTGGTATATCGTTCAAATGAGACATATAAGAACTATGTGTGTTGGCAGGTTACTACGCATAAATGAGAAGTTCAGGTTAAAAAACAAAACATCATTTTGACGTTGATCCTTATTTTGTGTTAAAAATAAGAACTAAGTAAACGCAGATGTTGTTGTCTTTGAGGTAACCTAGAAGTAAAGTTCAGTATAATATATTAAATATTAGTACTCACCAAAATAAGAATTATTAAGAAAATAACTTTAACGATACAAATTTCACTGCCCCAGATGCGCATTTCAATAACTAATGTCTTTACTGTGATAATCGAGATAATCGAGATAATCGGTTTAAAATCCGAAACCTTATTAAACAATGAAAGGCTAAGAAAACGAAAAAGGACCAAAAGAAAATGCAAAACCAAAAACAAAGAATCATTGGTATGCATGAGTGAAATACATTCCTTTATTTATAATGATTAATCAAAACTTTTAACAGCTCCAAATAAAACAACACCCGTATGTTCATGTCAGTAACTACTAACTAGTGGCTACTGGGCTTAAATATGTTCATCAAACTAATTAAAAAAAAAATCAAACTGGAATAAAATTGTAGACCTTAAACCATGGTGACAATAAGACAGTGATGAAGATCCACTTCAGACGAGTATATCAAGTGTGTTAGTTAGATCGATAATGAGACAAGGAAACATACTCTGCTAGAAGTCATATATAATGAGGTCTAGTAAGAGTGATAAGGAAACAAGAAAACATACTCTGCTAGAAGTCATATTTAGTGAGGTCTAGTAAGAGTGATAAGGAAACAAGAAAACATACTCTGCTAGAAGTCATATATAGTGAGGTCTAGTAAGAGTGATAAGGAAACAAGAAAACATACTCTGCTAGAAGTCATATATAGTGAGGTCTAGTTAGAGTGATGAGGAAACAAGAAAACATACTCTGCTAGTAATCATATATAGTGAGGTCTAGTAAGAGTGATAAGGAAACAAGAAAACATACTCTGCTAGAAGTCATATATAGTGAGGTCTAGTAAGAGTGATGAGGAAACAAGAAAACATACTCTGCTAGTAATCATATATAGTGAGGTCTAGTAAGAGTGATAAGGAAACAAGAAAACATACTCTGCTTGAAGTCATATATAGTGAGGTCTAGTAAGAGTGATAAGGAAACAAGAAAACATACTCTGCTAGAGTCATATATAGTGAGGTCTAGTAAGAGTGATAAGGAAACAAGAAAACATACTCTGCTAGAAGTCATATATAGTGAGGTCTAGTAAGAGTGATAAGGAAACAAGAAAACATACTCTGCTAGAAGTCATATATAGTGAGGTCTAGTAAGAGTGATAAGGAAACAAGAAAACATACTCTGCTAGTAATCATATATAGTGAGGTCTAGTAAGTGCGATGCGGAAAGAAGAAAACATACTCTGTAATTATCATATATAGTGTGGGTTAGAACAACGACGAGGAAATGAGAAAACAAACTCTGCTAGTAATCATATTTAGTTAGAGCTAGTGAGAACAATATGGAAATAAAAAAAAACATACTCTGCTAGTAATCATATATAGTGAGGGCTAATAAGTGCGATGCGAAAATAAGAAAAAATACTCTGTAATCTATCATATATAGTGTAGGTTAGTAAGAACGACGAGGCAATGAGAAAACAAACTCTGCTAGTACTTACATATCGTGAGGGCTAGTAAGAACAATAAGGAAATAAGTATTATAATCTGTTAGTTATCATATATATTGAGAGTTAGAAGGAACAGTAGGAACTAAGAAAAAACATGCTCCACTAGAAATAATTTATAATGAGAGCCTTCTAAAAAAGATACATTATAATCTGTACTGGCATTATGGTTATGTCTAAGTTATCCTTTTTTTAATCACAAACCAACATTTAGGTTATAGGAAGGGTTGAGCGCTCACAAGCATGGTTGACCCTGTCTTTGTGTGCGTCCCCGAATCATGGGCTTATAACTCAGTGATTGTCGTTGTTTGCTGGCTGTCATATTTGTTTTTATTTTATTGTTTTTACAAAAAATAAGCGTGTTTGTCTGGTTTTTCACATGTTGTCATTTCTGTTATTTTGATAGCTAACTAATCGGCTGTTGAATGTCTTAATTTGCTTATATTTATGTCATTTTGTCTACTGTTCATAAATGTGTCATTTACAATAATACCAAAAATCTTCTTATTTGTAAATTGATGGCTATGTCGATACATCCTTTTTATCACTAGGACGTTTAGATGTGGATTCAATTTTTTTGTTCGTTCCCCAATACAAAAGGGCGTAGTAGGGTATAGACCGTTTAATAACGCTCCTTTGTTACGCGTCTCTAAATGTGTTGAACCTAAAGAATGTACACACCATGATGCTCCGTACTGGTATGAAAGTAAATAAATATTCATAGAAACTGAAGCTGATTATTTGAGATCCTAGAAGAAGTCCTTACTATCGAATCAATCAAAAGTAGGTTTTTTCAAAAGCTTTGATATTACTGTTGCACTTTAAATACACGTAGCTAACGAACAAGTTGAAAACTGTAAATGAGATCTAGAAAATACCAGTTATCAAGCCGATAAAACTGATTTTGACTTGCTAATATATGGTACATAAATTGTCATACAGTCACAGACTACAAAAATAGAAGGTTTCGAATGTACATAAACAAACAGAGACCAATTGTTTTTTGACATTAAATAAACTCGCTATTCAATGGAAAGCCAATACATATAACTGTTTGTAAGATGATAGTTTTATCATGAGACCCTACACGTAATAACATAATAATATTCATTGCTGGTAATTTTTAATACCGGAAAGGCTCATTGGATGTTTATTATCAACCAATCAAACAAATTTCTGGCAAATGAAGTTCCAAAACGACAAGGCACTTCTTTAAAAAAATGTTCTTAACTGATCTTCCAAAAATTTCTAATCATGGCATGTGACAATATTAGTTATATAGTAAAGGTCATCTGAAAGACACCTAAAGGCATAATCACAGGATTAAATCTCATAGTTAAAGTGATAAACATGTGTGTTTTAACAAAAGAATTTCCTTGTTGATAGATTATACCATAATTAGGTTATATTTTGAAATGTTACATCCTTGAGATGATTCAAGAGGTCCAAGTTTAAACCGGCCTAGTTGTTTAACTAATTGATGGATTTTGTTTACTTTACATCCAGTTGCAAATATTTCATATATATTTAGAGCAAAAAAAAACAATAAATCCAATGGGTAGGTTCTTCAAAGTTTGTTGACATTGTTGAAGAGCGGGAAATTAAAAAAAAGGAAAAACAGAAACTAGAAAACGGCTAGCAAAAATCAGGGTATGGATGATTAGGGTACATTTTGCGTTGCAACGAGACCCACACGAACTCGTTAGAGAGTTATTGCAGGGGTTCTTTACAAGTGCAGAGAGCATTGCACTGTTCGACCACAGAGCATAGACCGATTTATCGTCGCTATTTTAACCGAGCGAGGCTACGCATTTATATTTTAAGAACCGGCGAACCACTTTTCAACATTTTTTTTGTCGGATGGATGAAGTCATGGGATGACCATGTTTCATACCTCAGTCAACCCTTGGGGTCATCTGTTGATCTAGACTGGCACAAAATCCGTGGTATATAATTACACTTTAACATTTTGTGCGTCCGAAGCTTTTTTTTTAGTGCCTGCGACATTTTGTCGCTGAAGCTAGACTTAACGATCCTACATTCCGTCGTCGGGGTTGTCAACATTTAATTCAGTCTGTAGTCAAAGTTCATCAATAACCATTAATAAGGTTGTCAAACCTTCATGGAGTGGTATTGAATTTTCCTCGGAGTTCAGTATTTTTGTGATTTTACCTTTTATGCAACTTGAACAGAAACCTTTTTATGATAAAAAAACAGTTACCAGAGTAAAATTTTGTACATAGTTTTCTTTTAATTTTTTAGAGTTTTTTTCCGCAGTAATCATTAAAATACCAATTCAAGCCGTATAGTCTTTCCCGAAAAAAAAACCCCCAAAAGGATAGATTCTCGTCATTCAAATATCTGACCTGTGCCTATTTGTTCTTTAAAGACAAAGAATAAACAATAAACACATTTATAGACTCTTTACATTTTGTGTATACACCTGTCTATTGTTAAAGAATGTATGCTGCAATAGTAAATCTCATCAAAATATATTGAAAATCCATTGTTTATGGCATTCAGAAAGACGGACAAAAATCTGATTCGCACGATTGCCAAAAACGATTGTTTAAATAGCAATCTGGAACTCAGATCATACCGTACCGATAAATGGGAATAGGGTTTACAATAGTATTGTTGAGAATACCGCGGGAGTTAAGACGTCGCGTTTTACCAATTGTATCTAGGGTTGACGTCAATGCGGGACGTAGCCTTAGCAGCTCGAATATATATGAAGTAAACGTTAAACTGTATGGTTGTGTTCTTTCTGTATAACGATAGTTGAGTTAGCCCCGACATTTATGGTGCCGTAACCAAAGGATTAAATCAAAGATGGAGAAGTTAAAGAATATTAGGACTGAAAATAGAAGAGCAGTGACGAGACTTTTCCGAAAATTTGAGGAGGCGAAGGAAAACACGGACTTCGACAGAGATGAACTACTTGCAACATACGATAATCTTACGCAAAAGAAGAAATTGTTGGAAAAACTGAACGAACAGATATGGAAGCAACGGATTCAGACAACGTTGAAAGTTAAATAGTAGATACAGATGAGTATTCAAATAATTTAGACACTAAACTTAGACATTTTCGTAATTTTATACAAATTGGTCAAAACCGTACACCAAGTTCCAATGTAACACAATCTTCATATCAAGTACTCAATGTAGAAAGCCCTCCTTTCCGCCCGGCAAATGTTGATAACTTTCAAAACGCAACACCATTCTATGCTTCATCCGCCGCTCAACCACAGACAAGCTACAATGGCTCTGATACAGGTCTTATTGCTCCACAAAATATAGCTAGTACTAGTAACCATCGTTTACCCAACCCAAGTTATCACTACCGAAGTTTGATGGCAACATTTTAGATTGGCAAACGTTTTGGGACTCGTACGAATCTGCTGTACATTTTAATCCTACTTTGACAAACATTGAGAAATTTAATTATCTGAAATCCAACTTGAAAGCGAGGCATTGAATACGATAACTGGATTTGCGCTTACAAATGGTAATTACATGGAGGCTATAAATGTACTCAAGGAACGGTTCGGACAAACACACAGAATTACGGAAGCCTACTTACAAGCTCTTTTAGATATTGCCCAACCACTATACACCTTGTCAAGCTTAAGATTATTTTATGACCGATGTGAAGCCTACGTAAGAGGGTTATATTCGCTCGGACAACCTGAGATGTCATATGGAACTTAACTGGTACCGATTATCATGAGAAAGTTATCCAGTGAAATCCGACAACACTTAGCCAAAGAACACGGACCGTCCCAGTTGGAATTTGAAAGATCTGAGAAGGAGCATATTGAATGAAATTTAAATCATGGAGGTAGGACAAAATACAGGTACATATCTCGAGTCTTTAGACCGTCAGTTTGCAATTGCTTTTAAATGTACATTTCATACAGGAACAGAATCATCGCAAGAAACACATCACACAACGCGAAGAGCCAACCCTGGAATATTACGGAAAGACCATGCGTGTTTTGTAAAGAGATTCATGCACCAGCACACTGTACCAATGTTAGTAATCATAAAGCTCGCATGTCTATCGTAAAACGTGATAATTTATGCTTTAATTGTTTAGGTAATCATCATGTTAATGAGTGTCAATTGAAACGAACGTGTCGACACTGCAACCACAGACATCATTCCAGCCTATGTAGTGCAAGTAACAATGTTAACAGCGAAGGTTTAGCATTCATTACAAGCTATACAAATAAACAGATTCAATCTACACCCGTCAATCTTATAAATGACACTGAAAACGAGGAAGATACTAAAGTTTTGCATTCATCGACACAGATGCGTACAAGTGTGCTACTGAAAACGGCTGTAGCTCCTGTATGGTCAGGTAATATATGTATGGATACGAATGTTTTATTTGATGAGGGTGCACAAAGATCTTTTTTAACAGATGATCTAGCGAAGAAATTGAATTTGAAAACTGAAGGAGCTGAAGTTGTACACCTATCGGCATTTGGAAAGGACAACACAAGCACAAGAGAACTACGCAAAACCACCGTATTTGTCGAAACCGAAAATAATCGTAAATTTCCTATTGAAGTCCTTATTATTCCTACTATAGCAGTTCCAATACATAATCATATGCGGTACGTAAACCGAAATATGGATTATCTCAAAGGATTAAGATTCGCTCATCCAGTTACTCAATACGATTCTTTTGAGATATCGTTACTTATTGGTGCCGAATACTATTGGAACTTTATCGAAGACGAAGTAATAAGAGGAGACGTACCGATCGCGGTTAAGTCAAAGCTTGGATACTTACTATCAGGACCCTTACAACCAGGAAGTGTACGTTCGTCTACGACATCCAGCATCTTGAACGTACTGGTTTCGAATAAATCAGAGGAATTTGGCTTAAAAGAAATTATAAAGGAACAGACACGTCGCGGATTTATCGAGAGAGATGAGGAAGCAGAACCGACAGGGAAAATATTAAAAGATGGACCGAATGATACGTATCTAATGAACTGTTGTGACTTATTATGGACTGTTACGAAAATGTTTGATTTATTGACTTACTTTCAAAAACCGATTATATGATAATATCGCATTGATTATGTGAACAGGTGCGCGAAAAATATAGACACTGTTATCTGTGTACGTAATAGACTCATTGTGATTTAACTAGAAGATAACTAATCTGGAAGTTAGTGACTGTGCTAAAGTTATTAAGTTTAAGTTTTGAATTTGAGAGACAGTAATTTTAATTCATTTTTACTTTATTGTGATTTAATTTTAATATTTACTTTTAGCGGCCCGGAGAATGTTGAGAATACCGCGGGAGTTAAGACATCGCGTTTTACCAATTGTATCTAGGGTTGACGTCAATGCGGGACGTAGCCTTATCAGCTCGACTATATATGAAGTAAACGTTAAACTGTATGGTTGTGTTCTTTCTGTATAACGATAGTTGAGTTAGCCCCGACAAGTATATCTACAAGATCTCTCGAATAAATTTAAATGAAACAATTATATTTAAATTTGTTGCTCATCATTACTAAAACAGTGATATATACAAGAAGTAACCATTGGAAATAACCGCAACCGCCTTAATGGGTAATTATTGGCAATATATTAACTGATTAACGAACTTTAAGGCTAGCTTGCATATCTTAAGCTCATATGTTCATGCTTTATAATTTTATTATTTTGTAAATATTTGATTAATTTCATAACGAATTCTACGGTTTTTTTTTACCTTAGTATGTATAAATACGCGAGGAGCTATATGATCTAAATGAACTATAAAAGAATAGTCAAAACCATTTTAGATCAACTTTGGTTGGGGGAGTTGTAACTTAGTTTCTTGATTTTTTCTAGAAAGAGAAGCAAAGATACCAAAGGGACATTCAAACTCATAAACCTTAAACTAAATGTTTCTTATTAAATTTAAGAAATCTGAAATTTTGGTTACAAGGCGACTTGATAAATTGCAATTTTTCATTTAAAGTGGAATCCAACGTTTACCGTACCAAAACTTGTCTCTCCGATCAAGAGTATAATGAAGTTTGTGTATTTATGAGTCATACTCTGTTTCAGAGCAAATATTGACATTCTTAGATGTGTATGATTTGGTCATAAAAGAGCTACGAAGGGTTATGCATGAACAGAAAACAGTCTTTCTAAATGAGTTTTTAAAACTTTAAAAAGAAAGATAAAACTGACACTTTTTTATATGAATATTATCCTGGATATTGAGAAAATGGATCACATGGAACTTGCAATCTGAAGAATAAAGATTATCTATCTGATTTGTTTATAACAAACTGCCGTGGTTAAGTCCTTTTTCTCTGATACTACAATGCATAAGCTAAACATCAACTATACTTAAGTTTTCATTTTAACGTATTTTCGAAAATACTATTTGAATATATGCATGTTCATGCTAGCTCATAAATGTTCATAGAAGTCTTCAGGCAGATATGTTACTCTGACTTTTATAAATATATGTCATAAATACGTCTAACCGAAGAAGCAAACAGTTACCTGGTCAGAAATCTAGGAGTAACAATATAATTCAAATCCAAAAAACAATGTTTAACATCTATCACACGCAGGTTTGTAGGTATGTAAATTATAGTTATTTTACGTTTCTGTCTATAGTTATATTTTTTAAATTGATTTTCTGTTAACGTCTTTTGTCACACCTCTTAAAAGAGGAAGTCGTCATTTGATCAACCATTGGTACCAAGAAAGATCACTTTAAAACGTGAAACTATGTTTCTAAATAAAATCAAAATTTTAAACGGAATATTTTAACAGTGCACGAGTCAAAGTATAGACAGGCATGAATGTGTACTGATTGGTATTTTAGCTAGGGAAACATTATTTTTTATTTGTTGTAATTGGCTTTAAACTAGCGTTCAATTACTGCAAGTACTCTTAGATAGGTGCTGTGTGTCTTTGGTCTTTTTGTTAGTTTTTTGTGTGCTTTGTGTTGATCAGAGTAGAATCAATTCCTTTTCAACTCATTTTTACATTTTTTTTATGTAAGAAGGAGGGTTGAGCGCGCGCAAAAATGTTTAATACTGTCACATTCTGTATATGCCTGTTCCAAGTCAAAAGCCCGTAATACGGTGGTTGGCGTTGGTTGCTGTTTATGATACATAATTTGAGTTTTTTTTAGCATAAATCAGTCCGTTGGTTTTCTCGTTTGAATTATTTTACATTTTAGCATGTCCCAGCCTTTTGCTATTCCATATGGGTTTTGCTCATTGTTGAAGGCCGTATGATGAACTATACTTGCTTACATCTACACCATGTGGTCTCTGGTTGTGGAAAGATTGCCAACGAGACAACTCTCCATTTAGACAACATGTCAACGATTACACCGTTCGGCCTTCAGAAATCTAGCTGATTTAGAGACAGAGGACCAAATGGTAATCTGTTGTTAGCTAATAGTAATGGAAGTAATGTACTAATGGAGTATAGCGAAGGTGGTAAACATACTCATGACATTCCATGCTCTGACAACCCGTTTGATTTGACAGACATTAACGAAAACCTTATTGCAGTTACATATAGAAGAGGTAAGTACTTAGAAATCCGAAATATAAAGAACAATACTATCGAGAGGATAGATAAATTTGAAGAGAACTGTTATAGAATATCATTCAAGGACAATAAACTATTTATCAGTACAGGGGGCATTGTAACAACAGATATTGCAGGAAACGTACTAAAAACATTAAGAATTGACGGCACACGTTTCTTGGCAACAACCATTGATAGAATTTATTTTAGCGTCACAAACGATCGTTCTGTACATTATATTTCCCTGACAGGTGAGGTAATATGGGTACATAAGAATGAATTATTCAGCTCCCCGAATGGAATCGCTGTGGATGGTCATCAAAATGTATTTGTTGCTGATACAATATCGAATTCTTTAAAAGTGATACAACATGACGAGAAAAACCAGTAAAGGATAGGTTAGTTCACTCCGCAAAATATCCAGTATGCCTTCGGAATATACAAATATTGTGAAGAATTTCAATAATGGCCGGGTATCAGTCTAAGTAAAGGACTACTCTCCAAATATCATGGTTCGTGTATGCCATTTGTATTACACTACAACAAAGACAAAAAAAAAAAAAAACATTACTTCTGATCAGTACTTGTGGGGATTCTGATGTATACAATCTAGAATAGTTTCAAGTCAAATCCAAAAATGTTCAAATTAATTTGAAACAACTTTTAAATATACTAGTCAACAAAAGTAACGATACACAAGTTTGAACTCCAATTTATCATGAAATATAATTAATAGGAAAAACTGTTTAATTATCCAATAAAAAACATTCATTTGCAAAGCAAACGCATATGATTAAAAGAATCTGACCAAATTGGAAAGTGAGAAAATACCGTGTTATGGAACATAAGGGTAAAATTTATTTTGTGGAAAATGATGACAAAAGTCGGCACTTAATTTCGAAGATGAAAATTAAGTATTCAAATATTTGCAAAGCCATTCAAAATTTTGAGCAGACCATGTTTAAGTTTTAAGTTTTAATATCTAATACCGATTTTTGAAATAACAAAAATTGCCAAAAAAAAATTCGCGTAATTGCCTTAAATCAATGGTTTTGATAAAAAAAAATAACACTCTGTAAATATTAGACTAATTGGGCAATTATTCACATTTGTACAGTGTATCCAATTTCATTATATATGGAAAATACATTGCCTTGTATCGTTTCGTTTGTTGGCTAGTATTTAATAATATAATTTAGGAAATGAACGTCATTTTCGAGAAAGAAAAAATGTTAAGGATCAGTTTTTGTTTTCAAAATTACTAAACTAATCCCGAACAAATCGAAGTAAGAAATTTATTACTTTGCGAAAATAACAATGGCTATGATTTAAAAGATTTTTTTTCTCATGTAAATGCTTGGTTTTGACAACATATTTATTTTGTTTGATGAACATGTGTTTGATTGCCTACACAATTAAAAGAAATTGTTTTACAAAGTAACGGATCAAATTTTGTTTCGCCTGTGACGAATGATGAAGGATAATACACATAGGAATGATAATACGACAGAGGCGTACCTCATATCTAGTATACAGATGCCATAATTTCTGATTAACATATGCCCTCATTTGCATGGTTCAGCGACTGCTTAAATAAAGTTTCAAGCTTTTTTTTCACTTGCTTTTGTTACTAAGTATTATCAGCAATAGGACACATATAGTTAATATATAGAATTATTGCAAGATTCGCCAGACAGGGTTCAACCGGCCGTGATATGAATATTATATGAATTAGTGCACAACCTTATTGTCACTCTTAAGTTCCGGTGCTAAGCTAGTTTCCGTACTATGATCAATAGGTCAATTGTATTTATTTTCAAAAAGAGAATGAAAATCCCAAAGGGATATTCAAAACTCATATAATGAGAAAAACTGAGAAAGCCATGGAAAAAACGAAAGACGAAAGAAAAAGTTCACTGCACAAATTTAATAAAGGCAACAGTAGTAACCGCTGTTCAAAAGTCATAAATCGATTTTCTACTTGTATTCATGCTGTTAGGCTAAAGACTGAGCAACATGAACCCCACCAACAGCTGAGGGTGATCTTAGGAGCTCCTGAAGGGTAAGCTGATCCAGTACCACTAGTGACACCCGTCGTGGATTTTCCGTCTGACAAAGATTCTTTGACCTAGGCCTCTTTTTTCATGGATCACTGGTGAAGGTAAAGTTTTCATGGTTATGTCTGTTACATCCGCCAAAAGTATTTTTCTTGGCTTACGGATTGATTGTAGGGTAAAAAATGTCAGTCTTGCAGAATTCATTTCATGTTGACAACATTTGTAAAGTTCATGGGTCGTTAAATGATCTCGACATAAGAGGAAGACTATTTAAATTTCTTATTTATCTTCCGTTTTAGCTTACCTGGCAAAAATGGCCAGTGTGAGCTTTTCCAATCACTTAGCGTCCGTCGTCTGTCGTCGTCCATAAACGTTTACAAAAATCTTCCTCTTTGAAAATATATTGCCAAACGAAACTAAACTTGGCCATTACCATCCTTATCTAGTTTCAAAATGTGTCATATTTCCAACATGACTATCAAGGCTAAAATAATAAAAAAAGGATAAAATGCAAGTATTGTCTATTATCTTGTAAATTGTTATTATAGATAGAAAAAATCTGACTATGCAGAATAGCTCAAAATGTCAAGATGTACCTACCATTGATTTTGACCAAAACGGTTTGACGACTCATTATAGGAGTTATTGCCCTAAAAAAAAAAGATTTTCTCAATCTTCTTTTCGCTTTTGTCTATTATTTTTGTATACTAGTAATAACTATAAAAGATAGAGGGAAAATGTAAATGACAAAAAATATCAGAAGGACAAGATGTACATATAATTAACATAGTCGAAATCTTAAGTCGATTCCTTAAAGAAGATACTGTTTACGAAAGACGATGTTTACCTTTTTTTAATGTTTTTGTTGATAGTAGATAGAGAGAAACTTCATATGACAGATATACCAACATGACAAGCTCTACATTAAAGCAGCATGACCGAAATTGTCATTTGACTCGTACTAGGAGTTGTTGCCTAACGATTTTAAAGCATTTTCTGTTATCTTTGCCAATTTTGTGTTTTTTGCCGGACAAGATCTATAAATAACCCAACAAGGCAGAAATCGACAGGTGATTCCTTATAGAAGTATTTGCCCTGGATGGAAGATTTTTACCAATTTTTGTGTTTTTTACAGAAACTAAAGTTGATAGGTGGAAACTGTGACAACACAATTGATCAGTAGGAAAATATCCTCAATTCATTCATTATGGAAGAAATCGACAGTTAACTACCATAGATGTTACTATTGCCATGAAAGACAACTTTTCTCAATTTTAGTGTTTTTTGTTGAAACTATAGCAGATAGAGAGAAACTGTATATGGCAAAAATGACCAAAAGTTCAAGATCTAATATTAAAGCAACATGACCGAAATTGTCAGTTGACTCGTTATATGAGTTGTTGTCCTTGAAAGACGATTTCTAACAATTTTCTGTACATTTTAGATAAATATAGTAGATGGAAAGAAACTATAAGAAGCAGAAATGATCAGCAAGACAGGATTATTACAATGCGTTCAACATAGTCACCAAATTTTGAATTATTTAGTGAGAGAACATCATCTATAAGTTAAGTTAAAGAATACTGCTAACTGCTTTTCTTTCTTCCTAAGAAGTTTCTTTATGAAGTCAGCCTCATGTGAATAAAGGAACAAGTCGGTAAGAAGAGGGGCACAGTTTGTTCTAATGGTAATGTCGATTGTTTGTTGAAAAACACGTCCTCCAAATGTAACACATATGTTGTCAATCAAGAAATCAAGCATCTTGATCAAGTCAGTTTCAGAAAATTTGTTCTTTGAATTAGAGTGAATTTTGTACAAAGTAGGATTTATCCCTCCCTAGACAATATACTTGTATCTACGTTGGCAATTCTTTTTTATGAAACAAAGCAGGACCAACTCTTTCAATTTGTCTTTCAGTTGGGAGTGGGGAATACTTGTTTAAAGTGTACAAGAGTCAATTTTTTAAAAATACTATTGCAAGATGAAAGAGTCTTAGATTGTATGTATTCTATAAACCACCTCTAGAATAGGTAGTTTCAGAATAACTTTGAAGCCCGGCTTTGATTGTTAGTAAAATTGATGTTAATAATTTAGAAAGAGGTTTCGTGGAGCACTTAGAAAATCCAGCAATATACCGTTGTTTGTAAGGAAACTTATGTAGTTTAGGTATCCAATACAGTGATGGAAAATCCAGTTCTGCATCTTTGGTCGAAATTCCAAAGGAACATAGAACAGTCCTATGATTATCCAGGATTTCCTCTTTAGTAAGTGTCGTAATCAAGCGAGACGTTTCAACCTGCGCTCTCTTGTTTACTACTTTTGTTAGAGCTTTGTTTGTTTGAGGGCCGCTTAGGTGTGATGCTACGAGATGTTTCTTTATCCTTTCTATCTAGTTGAAATGTATCGGCACTTAACCAAATCGTTTATATGCATATATTTAAAATCGACGAAAATGTGCGATATTTTTCAAGTTTTCGTATAGTGTGTCAGGAGTATTGACAGGTAAAGAAGAGTGACTAAACTGACGAGTTATCAGCATTTATGAGAGGTCGTTCTTCCAGCCTTTTTTTCCATTTATGTTGTGTGAATCAATGGACAGAGTAAACATATAGTTACTTTGGTGTTTTTTCCACCTGATTGCATATTTTTGACAAATATGTCAATAATATTTTAGTAAATGTTATAAGTGTCGTGTTCTTTGTTCAAATTTTATGAGTCAACGTAAACCAAATAATGGGATTGAAAAATGTCGTTTGTTGTTTGAAATTCCGATGATGTAAAACAATCTCATCCATTTTGCTGATTGATTGTTGCTCGTTTAATGTCTAGTGACAGTATGGTATGCTTATTTTGTACGGTGATCCTTTTGGATATCATCTACTACTAAATATGCACCATTAGATAAACGCTTCCACGTCAAACCTTACAGCTTATTAATGAATATCAACTTACAAGTTTGATGGGTTTGAAATACATTTCTGGAATTACCTATGTCAGGTACGTTCTAACAAAAAAGGTGTATGCAAAGAATGTATTTTAATAGAAGAATTTAGGAGCTATATGACCAAAAGAGATACAGAATAGCCACATCCACTTAATGTTCTATTTACCTGATGTAGTTTGAACTTCAGAATCTTATTTACATTGTAAATCTAAATTTATCGACAGAAAATCTAAGAAAGGTATTTTTGAATTAGTCAATATCGAAGAACTGACTTCCGAGCTGATGATACCATAAGAAACCAACAATAGAATGTATTTTAATAGAAGAATTTAGGAGCTATATGACCAAAAGAGACACAGAATAGCCACATTCACTTAAGGTTCTATTTACCTGATGTAATTTGAACTTCAGAATCTTATTTACATTGTAAATCTAAATTTATCGACAGAAAATCATAGAAAGGCATTTTTGAATTAGTCAATATCGAAGAACTGACTTCCGAGCTGATGATACCATAAGAAACCAACTATAACAATGATGACTTCAATAGTTCTTCTTCATTAATCTAATTATTTTTTAAGTTGAATTCAACACTGCTAGTGAAATTGAGGCGGAAGACACCAAAGATATATTGAAAATCAGATGTCGACGACAAATTGACAACGCCATGGCAAAAACGAAAAACGACTAAAAAGACAAACAACAGTAAAAAACACAACACAGAAAACTAAAGACTGAGCAACACGACCCAAATAAAAAAAAACCGGGGGGATTTGAGGTCCCCCAGAAGGGTTAGCAGATACATCGTTACATGTCTCACCAATTGTCTTACTCCGATAAAATAAGTCGGTAAGTTATATTTAGTGATTAGGCAGCATGTAGCGGATTGGTAATTGACTCTTATTTGACCATCAAATTCGTCATGTTACTAATTCTTTATTCCTGAAACTTGACCAAATGTGAAATTTTTAAATTGAATCACGTTCTTCATGACAAACGATAGTCAACACTCATTCCGGTATAAGCAAAGCAGAAATTTAAAAAAGTTACAAATCACAAAGAACTGTAGCGTACAGAGGATTAAGTTACTTATTTAATTTAATATTTGTCACTGGTAGCGTGGTCAAAAGCTAAAACTGTTGGTAACACAGTATAACCATTGGTAGCATGGCCTTACGGCACTGATCTTATGATATTTGATAAAGGACAAGAAATGTTTAAATCTTGCAAATGAAGTTTAATAACAATATGTTTAAATATAGTTACAACATAAAAACCTACCAGAGCGTTAAAAATAACTGTGACCCCCCTTTTGCAGTATTTGGCTAAATGTAAACATTAGCGTAAAATCAACGGACGGACGTAGTAAAATATTTGGGTCAAAGTCACTGGTCAGTAAAGATAAATAAATACAGGTGCAAACGTACACAGGTAATTGAATAAATCCTGGTCGTGGTTTGTAAAGATTGCGCTGGTAACGCACTTGTATATATTACAACAGGTCTTGTCAATTCAAAATCCCTGGTAGCGGGTCGCAATCTTCCTCTTGCAGACATGGGGACCTCTGGGAACCTCTGGGGACCTACGGGACGTTTCATTGGTTAAAGGTCTCCATCCATGGTAACGGGATTTTCACGCCATGATCATGCGTATCCTCTGGCCTGAAACCAATTACGATTATGGCGGTTTCTAATATTTTAGTCTTTGAACGTTGGAAAAAGAGAGAAAAGAACTTAATGAAATACTGCAATGACAGGATAAAGCCCAGATTACAATATATAGCCCTTACGTAAATAAATCAATAAGGTACAAACCTACCTAACCCTTAACCTTATCATTATCCCTAATGTTTCAGAACAACACTTAACTTAAGCAAGATAAAAACAAACCCCTTTAAAACAAAACAAGGGTGATCTAAAGTTTTCTTAAAGGGCGAACAGATCCTGCTGAAGGGTGGCACTCGTCGTGTCGCTCAAGTGAGTAATCATTCGGCGATAAACCTAATTATATGATGTCATATTCGAGGAAAAGAGAACGGTAACGACAATTTGGATACATTCGTTGTCATCTATGAAACAGATTTTCCATGACGGTCAACAAAATCGTAATTACTCCTTATTATTTTCAAAGGGATAAATTCAACAATTACTTCTCCACTTGGAACCATTGGTTTAAAGCTTCTTGAAAGCAGCAAACCCATTATCCAAGAAATCATAATAGGAAATGCTAACTCTGAAATCAACCACGATATATATGTTCCATATGTAGGCGCTGTTGGAATGTTGCTACATAGAATACACAGAAATGGAAAGTTCACAATTTGGAAGCTGTAATCATCCCTTTTGTCGTAAAGTTTTGTTCTCAACTGATCCTGATTGTCAATTTTTAGGTGTAAGTCGAGAGCTGAGGCCGATTTAATTAACTGTATCAATTCGATAGGGGTAGATGCGTTCAACATAGTCACCAATTTTTGAATAATTATATGAGAGACATCATCCACTTAGCCGGAACATAAAGTTAAAGGATAAGGCTTCTTTTATTTCTTCCAAAGAAACTCCTAAATGAAGTCTATCTCATAGCATAGTGAATATGAGAACAAAATCTGGTATATAGTTCAAATGAGATACAAAAGCACTATAGGCGTTGACAAACGGCATGTACACAAGCAGAAATGGGAAGTTCAGAATAGAAAATCATAATATTATTTTTGTTATTGATCCTTCTTTGAATTACAAAAGATCTCGGTATAAAGTAGATATTGTTGTCTCTGAAATATCCTGGATTAAAAGTTCAGTACGATATATGAAATACAAGTTCTCACCAAATTTGGAATTATTTACCACAAACATTACTGGTACCATTTTTTCTGCCTCAGATGCACACCAATTTAATCTTTTTTTCCTCAATCATAGATTGTCTAAGCCGTATTTGGCACAGATGTTCGAAATATCGGTTATTAATACTTTCCAACTTCGTAATACTTGATTTAGCTTTGCAATAGACTGCTGGTGGACGTTTTGTTGCCGAGGGTATTGCCATTCTAGTAGTCAGCACTTTTGTGCTGACATAAAATATCATTGATATGCTAATTTTAGTAAATTTCCTGTTTATAAAATGTTGAAATATTCAAAACGCTAAAGCCTTTTACCCTTAGGTGAAGATTGCTTTAATCGTTTTTCGTATTATTTGATTAGGCTTTGCAACTGTTTTGATTAAAGCGCAATTAATCAGTCTTATGTAGACGAAAAGCGCGTCACTCGTACCAAATTATAAGTCTGGTATTGTTTTCCGAGGGAGACAGAACGTACGTTTCTTAATTTTTTCTATATTTTTAAACGGCAAAATTAAGAAATCTGACAGGCTAGTTTTGACGGAAAGGGATTTTGTGAGTAGCAAATTTTGAAAGTCAACCATATAAGCAAACATTCAACAAAACATATTCATCAGGACATATTTCTTTAGTTCTTTTTTCTTGAATTTCTATTTATGGTATGAAAGGATATAAGAAAGTTTTACATTGCCTTTTGTCTTAGATATTTTTTGGTTTTATTACTACAATGCTTTAAAATAAGAAGGCGTGGCAAAACTGATAGATCAAGATATTTTTTTATATTACATATAAAAGGATATGGAAAATGATTGTCAATAACACAACTATCTTTTAGGACTAAAGGTGAATGATGTTAACATTTACAAGTCAGCGTAAAAATTAGCGAAGTTCATTGCATGAATTAAATTAAAAACAAAAACAACCCAAAAACGGCCGGACTTATACAACAACAATCATACGAAAAACAACTATAGCAGACAGCAACCATCGGCAACCACTGGATACCAGATTTCTTATTTCCTACAGGCGTATAAGAATGTGATGGGTTCAGACATGTTTGTTAACGCCCAACCTTCCACCTATAACCTGAGACAGTTCATTTGGATAAACCGGCATATATATATATGAAACCATTTAAAACTAAATGTCTGTATATCTTTTAAATTTACCTCATTTTAAAACTTTTTAAATACCCAGGTGACATTACGATTTATCACGAGACTTATCTACTGATAACAATGACGTTTATACTGTTGTAAGGAATATTGTAGGTAACTAATTTTGACAAAATTAAAATAGGGTAGCAAAGATAAGCTTTTAGTATCTAATAAAAAAATATTTGAATCGAAACGATAAAATGTATTCTTTTTGTTTTATATGGTTTTACTTATATTTTCACAAGATTCGAAGGAATTTTAAATTAACGATTAACCTCCCCATTTCAAAGGTTACATTTTTGGCTAAACAGATGTCAATAAAAAAGACGAAAGTAAGAAAACTAGAACACAGCCTAGAGTATGATGTGTGATGAATCGCATGCACAGAAAGCCATAACTGCTCCGTAATTCTTATTATAAATATCAACTAATATGTTTTAATCTAATAGCTCATGCAATAAATGTTGTCCATATCTTGGTATATTCCGAAAAATTAACTTTAACTGGAATTATGCAATTTGATAAAATAGATTTTGGTCCTCCGGTAATTAAAATTTATCTTTGGTTAGTTCCTCTTATTAAAAAGAGGGTAAGATTGTTACCGAAGTTGGAAATCATTCAAATTGGTTTTTATTGATAAACCGATGTTCTCAATCCATGGAAAGAAGGAATGAATATCTTAAATACGATGTTTCTGAGTAGGTTAGTGCAAAGCTCTTTGCACGTAAAAGAACCAATTTCAGTAAGACTTTCAGAGGTCCATTGATGTCAAAATGTATAACCCTATCTAACATACTCTGCTTTCCAAGTGGCAGTCAAACATTTTTGTCCTTTACCCGGTCGGTCCCCTTCGCAGAACCTGATTTTTTTATTTGTTTTCATTCGTCCCGAGTATTCAAGCAAACAATAATCTTATTCCAGATATGAATGGTTTCAAAATGTGTTTGTTATTTTATTGTTCTAACATTTATCAGGGGAGGGGTGTTCTAAAGAAAGAATTCAAGTTATATTCAAATAATATAAGGAATATGTTGTTATTGAGAAATGTTCCAAAAAAAAACCAAAACTAATCTAGACGTGCTCAAGATTCATTAAAGGTAAACTTTAACTTTTGCCATAACAGAATTTTGCCCTAGATATTCACACGTTGATGAATATGTTCTAAAAACGACTGAAATCTGTTTTTTTTAAGCAAGACGTCTTCTATTTCTTCATCATCTTTATTTATTCATTTACCTACCTGCTTGAAAGTCTTGCCGTCTTTGTGTCAGAAGAAATTCTAATGCTTTGGTCGTGTTATATTTTTTTTTCAATTTGTGCTTAACTTTACTCAATAATTTTTATTACACATTCTGTTTATGATAAAATAAAGCCAACTTCTACTAATATTTTAATATAACTAGAAATGTGTTCCTTAAAATAAATACTATCTTCTTGCTATTTTTTTTTAGTAACGCATCTACTTGTAGTTCATATCTTCTAGTCATTGTTATTGTCATTGGTATAAATATGCATTGCTTATACAAATAACTGAATATGATATAATGTTCCCGGTACCAATAAAACCACTTGTCAAGTACATATATACGTATTCCATAAATGAAGTAGTATTGTCATTTTGTCTTCCCCTATCCACCACGCAATTATTTTTAGTGGCAGTCAAAAATTCTGTTCTTCATCCCGGTTGATCTACCTTGCAGAGCCTGTTTTTTGTTTAAGTTGTAAATTTGTTCCAGTAATGCATTTAGATGAAATATTTGCCCCCTGAATTTAACACCAACAAAAATCAATCAATCAGTTGTTTCTTCTCCTTTCGTTCACTCCTTTTAACGTGAAGATTTGAAAATTTATATCACCAAGTAAAAATTTTAATATCGAAAAATTTAAATGATAAATTTGAAAGATCTCTCAACCATTTAACATATATTCAAAAATTATAAATGCTATTCAACACCTTAAACGGCTTTTGCAGACCATTTCTAAAAAACATTACAAATTTAACACGTCTTTTTTTAAATTGTGCATCGTAAGGCATCAACATGAATTTATGTTAATTTGAAAGAAAATGCATATAATTTGATTTTTTGTTTAGCTTGTTCGTTCTGTAATTGCAGTTATGATCCATCTCCAACAATTTGTTCAATAAAGGGACATATTATTTGTTACTAACTGAAAGTACAAATTAGTACAGAAAGACTCTTAAAGGTTTTTAAAAATTGCCCTGAAGTGAAGTTAATTCATTGGAAAAAGGTCCTACCTCTTTTTCCCGCTATCTTGGCTAAAACATCTTGTACGAAATACGAAATACAAGACAACCATCTCAGTTTCATGTACAATTTAAATAAAATATATATAAAACGTGTAATGGCGAGGAATTTAAATGAGGGAAAACATTCATATTTCGTGATCAAATAAAAATTGAACCAATTCTTGATTTTATACCATTCAATCTTTAATAATCGTTACAATTCATTAATATTCATACTAACAAACATGACTTTACAGGTATTCCATCATGTCGGATTTGATTCTTTGTGGTCCATGTGGTTATGCGGATAATAATAGAAACGCAGAGAAGTGGTGTACAGTTTGTGAGGAGGGATTATGTACAGATTGTGAACAGGTTCATAAATCTATCAAAACAGCAAGGAATCACAGGCTCATATCAACCGACGACTTCCGTCAGATAAAAAATATTTCCATCAGCCTCACCTGTAAAGACCATGACAAGCGACTTGAACTGTATTGTAAAACACATGATGTTGCAGTTTGTTTAGGTTGCGTACCATCTCATCATAGGGCATGCTCTGACGTCATGCCTTTAGATAAAGCTGCTGAAAATGCAAAACGTTAAACTGCACTGGCCGATTTAGAGGACACTTTAACCATAGCATTACAAAATCTTCAACAAATCATTTACGACCGTGCTGCAGCAATGGAGAATTTAGACGGCCAGAAGCAAACCATCAAAAATACAATCAATGATACACGAGCAAGAATAATAAAAAAGTTATACGACTTAGAACAAAAAATACTTCTTGAGTTAGACACACAACATGGTAAACGTAAATCCGTACTAAGCAAACTTTTAAACCGTTTGAAAAATTCGGAAGGAGATTTAAATTGTCTGAAAGAGCAAACATCACAATTGAAATCATTTGCATCCGAGATTCAACTTTTCCTGGGAACGCGCCAGATCAACGAAACAGTCTTTAAAGAAGTAGAATCCGTTAAAGAAAGAATCAAGTCTGTGCAGAACTATGAAGTTTACTTACAGTTATATCCAGTTGTCAAGGCGTTTATGAATGAGATAGATCAGCTAGGCAAAATATCCATTAAGAAGACTACCACAAATATACTGTTCAAAGAAGCAAAGGCAGACCAAGCCCAGATGCAGCTTCGATTGCCCGAAATGACAGACATTAATAGCGTCTCTCTCAAATTAAAGAAGGAATTTAAATTGAAAAAAAAGGATTTTGGGATGTGGATGTCTGGATGCAACATATTACCAAATGGTAATTTGTTAATAGCTGATTATGTAGGAAATAAAATGATTATGGAGTATAGTGAAGACGGAAAACATATCCGTGACATACCATGCTCTAGACCACCGTTTGATCTAACAGTCATAGACACTGACCATATTGCTGTTACATATGGAAATTGTCAGTACATAGAGATTTTAAATATAAAGAACAATAAAGTCTGGAGGAAAGTTAAATTTGAGAGAGACTGCTACGGAATATCATACCAGGACAATAAACTATTTATCATTTCAAGAGGCATTGAAATAACAGATATATCAGGAAAAGTACTAAAAACATTAAGAGTTGACTGTGGATTATACTTAGAAACAACTACTGATAGAATTTATTTCACCGCTGAAATAGATCATACTGTACATTGTATCTCCATGACAGGTGAAGAAATATGGGTAAATAAGGTGGAATCCATGATCAATCCGATGGACATCACTGTAGATGATCATCAAAATGTATTTATTGTTGATCGAGATTCGAATTAGCTAATGTTAATACAGGATAGAGGGAGGGCAAGTAAAACACTACTAACCGGAACGGACGTCTGCACACACCATCTGCGCTACACTACAACTAAGACAAAAAAGTATTACTTCTGTGTAACCAGATTGATAGTGCAGCCTTATACAATCGTGAATAGTTTCATTAACCTTATTTCATATTCTTTTTCAAACGCATAATTTTTTTGTTAATTTGAAACAGCCTTTCCTAATGATAATGTAATTTAGGTAATAGACATTTTCGAAAAAAAAAAAAATGTTATTGATCAGTTTTTTGTTTTTAAAAAAGACTGTATTATGAAGCAAAGAGATTCACTACTCTGTGAAAATCAATGGGACTATAATTTAGACATAAAATGTTTTCCGATTCATATAAATGAAGATGTTACTTTTTGAATAAACATTTACTTTGGTTGACATGTTTTTAATCACCTACAAATAAGAAAGAATATTTCTGCAAACTAATTGATCGAATTTTGTTTCGCCTGCAACAAATATCGAAAAGTGCGACTTATATGAATGCTAACACGGCGATGGCATAAACTATTTGTAAAAAAATTAATATATCAGAAGGTAGAGTACCTAGATACATGTACCACATATATATCTTGTATACAGGTGACGTATGTTTCTGAAGTTTCCGTCTAGCATATGCCTATTTTCCTTGAGCTCATTTTTATGGATAAGCAACTGCTTAAAAAACTTTCTAGGTTTTTTTCTCGTGCTTTTCTTACTTTACTATATATGTGCAACAGGACAACTATATCTGGTATTTAGAATAATTGCAAGATACGCCAGACAACGTTCACCTGACAATGACCGCATTATATAGATCAGTGCTCAACCTTATTGCAAGTTTTAAGTTCCTGTATAATAAGCAATACGGACGAAGAAGAATTTAAAAAAAGGCGGAAGATAACAAGGAGAGAGAAGTCGAGAGAAACTGACAACGCCAAGGCAAAAAAACTGAAGACGACGAAAAGACAAACAAGTTAACAGAACACTACATATGATACTAAGACTACGCAAAACGCACTCCACAAAAAACGGGGGTTATCTCATGTGTACCGAAAGGGTCGGCAGATCCTGCTCCACTGTTGGCACCCGTCTTGAACATTTACGTCTGACCAGGTTCATTTGACCTCGGCCTCTTTTTTAAGGGTTCACTAATCAAGGTAAAGTATGTTTCTCAGATTCCGTACACAAAAAGTCAACTTGTCCATTTAACATTTGAAAAATATTTTTATAGTTCATTGTCCTACGTAAATTTTTTGTGTTAGATAAGGAAGACTATTTATATTTTTTATTACATGTTAATTTTTAAAGATTTTACGTAGGAAGTGCACCATCTTCTAACAGAAATCTATTTTAAAACAAAATCTCAGAACAAAGGTATTGTGGTTTCAACCATCCTATTTTACAGTTTAATGTTTGCGTATTTATAAATAGACATACTCATCATAGATACCAGAATTCAAAATTTTAACGCCAGAAGTGCTTCTCGTCTACTAAAGACTCATCAGTGACGCTCGTATAAAAAAAGATTAAAAAAAAAGGCCAAATAAATTACGAAGTTGAAGAGCATTGAGGAAATATAAGTAAAACTATGTTTCAGAGCAAATATTGAAATTCTTAAATATGTTTAATTTGTTTATATAGAAGCGGCCAGTTTTTATTGGTGGATAGGCCGGAGTGTCCGTAGAGAACCACCGACCTTCGGCAGGAAAACTGGCAATCCAGGATTCATAGTCAATTAAGATTGGAATGGAAAGTATGTGCCACGTGAACTCACAAATACAGTGTTGACAGACTAGTGATATAGTAGTTGAAATACCTAGACCATTCGGCCACAAGGAACTACGAAGGGTTATTGTAAAAACAAAACAGTTTCTCAAAATGTTTGTATACGTATAGAAAAATGATAGAATAAAATGTGAAAAACACATGTTCATAGTTTATGTAATATTTTGTATTCTATGATGAGTATTTTCTTGGATATTCAAAAGCAGTTCACAAGGACATTTTACTGGAGCTTGTACTTTTTAAGTATAATACTAGTAATAACATGCAATCTTAAGAACTAAGATTATCCGTTTCTTCGATACTATAAGCAAAACGTCAACTGTTCTTGGTGTATGGAAAGATTGTAAGGTGTGAATGTTTGTATGTCAGTGTTCATCTCACTTTGACTTCATGTCCATTGTTCATTGGTCAATACTAAGTTTTTATGGTTACATCTGTGTCGCAAATACTATTCGCAAACGGTAGAATTTACAGAGTGTGTGGAATGACTGTTTTATGTTTTGTTTCTGTATTACAGTGTTCATCTATCCATGCCCTTATTTTCATAATTTTGATAATTGATAATGATATTAAGTTTATGTGATGACTGCAGTTAAACTTTTATCTAAAGACTTTCAACATTATATTGTCATTTAAGTATGCGAGACATTTCAACATGTGCACTCTTGTTAAACTACCTTTTTGAGCTATAGTACTTTTCTGCTCCTAAAACTTTGGCTGTTCTGGTGATAGCCTCTAGTGTTCTATGCTTTGGAATATTTTTACCAGTTTCTTTAATTTCGAAAATCTTTGGTCTCATCGTGTTGTTAAAAAGAACATCAGGCCGTTAGTTTTCTCGTTAGAATTGTTTAACATTTGTCATGTCGGGGCCTCTTATAGCTTGCTATGCGGTGTGGTTGAAGGTGTAATACCACCAAATCATAGTACGTCACTTCCGGTTGCCTACGAAAAAGTGTCGAAAAAAATATTCCCTTGAATTTGACAGTTGTAGGAAATTAATCCTACATTTTATTGCAATAAAAAAATTCTGAGTCATAAACATATCTTGGTTGTTTCAAAGCACCATTCTTTTTTTTGTTTGGTGTTTCTATAAAATATTTTGGAAACTTGAGGTTACATGGTTACTGAAGCTTGTAAACAGGAAAGAAGTTTAAAGGGCTTTTACACAGGTTAAAAAAGGGGGAAAATTTGATTGGTTAACTTCCAGTGATGGTTATTATCTTATATGCAATGAAATGTTATGTGAAATTTTGTCTGTAGTACTGAATAGGATAACACTTTACTCATGCCAAGTATTTCTTTATTTGAAACAAAGATAAATTCTGTACAATTTTTTGAAAAGTGCAAATTTAACAAAGACTAATAGGGGAAAAACAATGGTGGTATTACACCTGAAGGTCGTAATATTATGGTGACCTATAGTTTCTAACATCTACGTCATTTGGTCTGGTGGAAAGTTGACAATTATACCACATCTTCTTCTTTTTTTATATTGTAGAGGTTCATTTAGATATAAAATTTAAAAAAAAAAAAAAAAACATATTTTCTATTTTGGTGATATGTATTGTTACTTGACCTAATCGTTTTGCAAATATTCAAAATCGACGAAAACGTGCGATATTTTGCAAGTTGTCGGTTTTCTGCGTTTCGTATATTGTGACAAGAATATGGACAGGTATAGAAGAATGTTTTACAGTTGACGTGTTTTCATCATTTACTAAAAAGGTCGTTCTTTAAGTCTCTTTTTCCTTTTTTTGTTGTTTGTAGCAAAGGACAGAGAAGACACATAGTAACCTTGATGCTTTCCAGCTGATATCAGATTTTTTTACAGATATGGCAGTAGTATTCTAGTAAACATCATTGGAGTAGTGAAATCTGTTCAGATTTCTTAAGTCAAGATATAAGCAAAAAAAAAAAAAGAGAGTAAAAACAGACGTTTATTGTATAAAATCTAGATGATGTAAAAACAATGTTCATCTATCTATTTGGTTGATTTTTTCTTTTAACGTCCAGTGACAATTATATGATGCTTATTCAGTACGATTATCCATTTGGATAGCATCAACTTCTTAATATGCACCACCATCAAGCGTTTCCACGGTATACCTTAGAGATTGTAAATCAAAATAAACTTTCAGTCGGTCTTCCTTATTAAGTCAATTATTTTTTAAGTTGAGTTCAACTCTGCATGTAAAGTGAATATGAAAAAAAAGGATATAGTATATGATTCAAATGAGATACACATTCAGACGTTCTAAAATTCATGAAATATAAGTATTAAAACAAATTGAGAATTATTTACTACAAAAATTATTGGATACAATTTTACTGCCCAAGATGCACTTTTCGACAAGTAATGTCTCGTCAGTGATGCTCGAGGCAAAACTATTTTAAACCCAGAACCTAATACAAACAATGCAGACCTAACAAAAAGGACCAAAGTAAAGAAAATCTAAGACAACGGATTAGTTATACGCATGAGTGAGATACATTTATTGATTTAAAAGATTTAAAATAAAACTCATTTTATATTCCATTAAAACAATATCCGTATTTGTATGCCAGTACCGAAGAACTGGCTACTGGGCTAAATTTGTTCACCAAAAATTATCTTTAAACATTTTTAAATAGAAATGAAAGGTTTATTATTATAGATTATATGTATATAGATTATTGCTATTAATGTCTTTTTTCAATTCCATTTCAAAAGAGTACAACAACACGTATACTAGTAAGAGTGATAAAAATAAAAGAAAATAAGAAAATATTCTGTTAATTACCATATATTGAGAGTGGCCTAAAAAATTACAATCTGCACTGGCATTATGACTATTTCTTTTAGATAAGTAGATCCATTCACAAACGATAGGGTTTTGGTAATATCTAATTCTTGGATTATATTTGTTATTTTTGTAAGAACGTTTTGCTTCATCGTTCCAGATCGGATTTAATTTGGAATGTCAATCTCAAAAAGTAAAGAATCTTTGTTCCGGTATTTTAAACTAAGGGCTTTATGCATTGAAATCATGTTAGCATGCTGCATTCATTTGTTGCTCGTATAGGTGTAGTTTTGCACGAACATCTACAACAAGAATATCTGCCGAAATTCTATACACTGGGACCCCATCTGTCTTTAAAACTGCTTTATCTTTCGAAAGAAAACCTTGAACAGAGAACCCTGTTGGATAGTTGTCTCAATAGCAATCATATCACATCTCCATATTTTTATGTTAACCCACTGAGCAAATTGCAGCTGCTACGTTCATTTCTCCGAAAAGTTAGACTTAAAAAAGGGTAAGCAAAAAGCTGATTTTAAAATCTCTGAAATTACACGAAAAAGAAAGAGGCGGAAGATACCAAAGGAATATTCAAACTCATAAGTCGAAAACAAACTGACAATGCCTTAACAAAAAAAATACAAACTTCAGTCTACAAAAAAATACATATCTAAAGACAGAGCAACAGGAACCCCATCAAAAACCGGGGTAGATCGCAGTTGCTCCAGAAGGGTAAGTAGACCAAGTAAAATGAAAGTTTTCAAAACTTCACTTTGTTAATTTTTTGCCTTTGATTAGGTTATTTTTTGGGGGAAGGGTGTATGCGCTTACATC